CCAATATGAAGTCAGTACTACTATACGGACCAGAGACTTGGTGCGTCATAAAGAGACCTTCATGAACAGCTACCTTCTCTCAATACTTCGCTCAAGATCCGATGGCCGGCCAGAAAAGATCAGCAAGAGATCACTGGGAGCGAACCAACCAGGAACGGATTGTGAAACAAATAGGCAGGAAGAAATGGAGATGGATTGGCCATACTCTGAGGAAACCATCAAGTGACATCACTAGACAAGCCATTGCTCGAGTGGAACCCGAAAGAGAAGTGGCGAGTTGGTATTCAGTGTGAAGGTGACATAGACAAGGTGGTCATGTGAAGAGGAGATGAAAACGTGTGGGCAGACTTGGAGCCAGGTGAAGACTCTAGTAGAGAACCGAACGCAATGGAGACGCACGGCTGAAGCCCTATGTTCCTATAGGAATTAAAGGAAACATTCGGAGGGAAATATAAGGCTACAAACAATGGAATATTTACAGGTTTGATTGTGAGCTGACACCAATTACAGAACGATTGGAAAACCTGAAAGTAGTGGACATCTGTTGTCAGAAGTACACGCCCGCCAAATTTTGAACCCTGGGACCTGGTCCAATGGCGCATGAATCCCAAATTCCTGCGTACTACTTTAGACTCTCAAACTAAGTGGAAACAGCTTTTCAGTACTCTCTAGTTTTCTACTGATTCTCTAGCTGATCTCAGCTAGTGGTTTAACATGTAGCTCATCAAATTCCTGCAAACCAACACCTGATCATCAAAATTTTCAGTCGTGATTTTGTTTCCTTTTAAGGGGGTTGAGATTTTCAGCCCTATGTCCAGTTCTTCCTCATTTCAGGGCTTACTATAGGCTGGTAATCTAGGGATGGGCGGGGAGGGGGTCGGGAGTTCATTAAACGCATAACTAGAGCCCAGACCTTCCAGTGAACCACTCATACATCCTTTATAAGCTAATTACTCGCTGTTATTGATCATGAGTAGTGTTAATCTAATTAGTCAGATATAATTAAATTGGCTGGCAGCCAATGATGGTCTAAAAACAAAAATATTGAAAATATTTGTCCAAAAAATGTAGATATGATTATTATTATTAAATACAGGCGGCAAATCTAATTATTCTACCAGTCAGTAAGATATTTTTTGCCTATAGGGAACAGGTGAAGATCAGCCGCATATTACCCAGTTTCATCTAAATGATATCTCAGATTGCCTTAACAAAATCAAACGGAATTTTGCGCAGAGGGAGGGGGATAAAAGATACTAGTGTAAACGAGGATGTTTGAATGTATTTCTAGTTTCTTTTTCTCTCATCATGAGACTGTATATTATGCCTCACTATATCAACAAAATCTGAAAGTCATATTGCCATCTTGATGTCATTATGAGCTATAAATTGTGCTCAGTGAGGTTAAAATGATGTTTATTTTTTGGTGGTGGCTAACAGCAGAATCCAAAGTAATCTTCCTGTTAGTAAGTCGTCATCTGGATGCACCTGCATTCCCATCGACTGATGATTTGCCCACCGAAACTCAAATTTGGTGCTGACTTTTTCAAATTTCAATGAATTATCTACTATGTCGAGACATCCACTATAAGGGCCAAAATGTCAACACGGACCAAATATATTGGTTTGGCATATTCCCTTCAATTAAAAATTACTTCAATAGGTAACAAGTGATTACGGTTGTACAAAATGTGATTCTCATGGACCGGTAACCTAATAGATAGGGCTTTGACTTTTTTGGCGATGAGCGTTACTTTCATCTCTAAATAGGAACACTTCCACACGCTGTTGATGCAGGTAAATCCAAATATGTGTCCTGGATTCTACTGTGGTTGTCTTTTGGAGTTACTCACAATCGGTCTTCTAAACGAGCGAAAAGGGGGAGGGGTTGAAATGCAACAGATCTATTAATCAGGATTCAGACTTCTTAAAAACCGACTATCGCTATGTTAGTCAGATAAAGTGCAGATGAGATTTCACCGTATCTGAGTCTGGCCACAATTGTAGATAACACTTGAATACATTGTAATCACGACATTTGGAAGTTTAGTACTGATTTTGTTTGAATTGGAGATGTAGGTTTTAGCATATAAACTTAAACGCATTGGTCAATAACTGTTGTGAGTTCAATGACAGTATGTTGCTTTCTATCAAGAGGTTAATCTAAAACAAAGATTCCCATTTAAATTCCGATTTTAGTGCGTGTTTTATAAGCCTAACAGAAATATGAGAGGCATTTTTGTATATTTAATTTCGAACTACGCGGAGCCAATCGTTGAGTACAGTTTTTCATTTATATTTCACTCGATTGGAGCTTTGATTTTCTTTGAAATGTCAGCAGAATGTGAGTACTGAGCCATGCATTTCCGAAACAATACTGTTACAATCCTTTCTGTTAGAAAACGGGTGAAAATCGGCACCCGTCTGCCTCTCTTTCACACTGTCTCTGCGTCTGAAAGAGTAAAGAAACTAAATAACCCTACCGTAACTGTTTTGCCCAGTGGTGAACGACATCAAACACAAGTTGCCAATATGTTTTTACATGGTCGATTACCACAAGAGCTGTGAATTTTACAGTTAACATTGGCATTTTTTACAATAACCTGAAGCTATTTTATAACTGTCGTCAACAGCGTTTCTCCATGTCACAGAGAAGCAAAACAGGAACATGTCCTAAGAACCAATAGTCTACATGTAGAAGAGGTTGAAACTTACATGATATGTGAATACTTAAGCGGGTTAAATGATGCGCCTTTGAAAATGTCTATGTATTCTTTTTGCTGAAAGTAGTAATAAATGACTTTCGGAAGTCGTTAAACATGGATAGGACTGCTACTATTAAATAATCGAGATGTTAACAGGTTGCTGAATATTTTTTGTGACATGACGGCGTCAGAAATTCAATCATGTCTTACAAGTATCACTGATATAGACTTAGTTATTCACTGATACAAAAATTTACAGTCTGTCATACCTTGGAATGACAACAATACTTTGTGTTCAATGCCATAGTTCTGTGTCTTGTAGCTTTTGAAGTATCTGATTTGTATTGTCGCTGTGTTTTTATATAAAGCTATGTGGCCATTGAGTTATTAGTTTGTATAAGTTGATGAAAATCCCTCAAGCCTTCCATCGATCATTCTACGAAATCTACATCTGCTTCAGAGGAAGGAATAATCACTGTCATTTAGCGCTATTTAATACAGTGAGTAGCAAAGATAATCACTTTATTCCACTCCAAAACTACGGCCTGCCTCAAGTCTTTATCAACGTTATTCAACAGTCCTATTACAGTAACACGTGTCATATATATATTGTTTTGCTTGTCTAGTGATGTCACTTGATGGTTTCCTCAGAGTATGGCCAATTCACCTCTATTTCCTCCTGCTTATTTGTTGAACAATCAGTTCTTGGTTGGTTCACTCCCAGAGATCTCTATTGCTGATCTATTCTAGCCAGCCATCTGATCTTGAGTATTGAGTGAAGGCAGTTGTTGATAGTCTGTAGTTTGTTTGAGGTGCTCTTTATGACGTGCTAAGTCTCTGATCTGTAAGGCAAGTAGCACTGACTTCACATTGGAGTTAAAAATCTGGATCTTATTTTTCATACTGAGCGCTGTTGACCTCCACACAGACTTTAGAGAAATGAAAGCTTGTCTTGCTTTCCCGATCCTTGCTTTGATATCCTCGTCAGTTTCGCCTGTTGTTGAAGCGAAACACGTGTTCTAACATGTGTCAGGTGATCCACAACAGAAAACTCAGACAGGCGCTCGAAGTGAATACAGGATTAAGACAAGGCTGTTTATTATCACCCACGATGATATTCTTAATTGTGGTGGACTGGATTATGCATCAGTCTGTGCACAGAGAGTGAGAAGACAGGAATACGTCGGCCCAATAAGAAGACTCTAGAAGATCTGGACTTCTCAAGTGGATGAAATGTGCTTATTGTCACAGAGAATCGAAGACTTGCAGGTGAAAACTAACAAACTAGTTGAAGAGACTTCGAGCCAGTGGAGACAGGGCTCCAGGTGAATATAGAGAAGATGGTGGTTTTTAAGATAACCAACCAACAGCAACAACAACCAGCACCAGTCACCATCAATGGGAGAGTTTTAACAGGCATCATCGTTCCAACCACAGGCGGTTGGAAAGGATGAAGATGTCAAAGTCAGCCAGAATTGGAAAGGCAAGATACGTCTTCATCAGCCTGAAACCTATTTGGAAATCTTCTGCACTCAGTCAGCATGAAGAACAATATACGCATTGTCAACATCAATGTCAAGTCGGTCCTTCTATACGCTTCAGAAACTCGCACTGTGTGGGCGTCACCAAAAGGATATACAACAGGTTGCAGACTTTCATCAACAGCTGCCTTCGCTCAGTACTTCACTCAAGATCAGATGGCTGGGCAGAAAATATCAGCAACTGGGATTGATTTTGAGAACGAGCGAACGAACCAACCCAGCAGGAACCAATTGTGTAACTAATATGCAGGAAGAAATAGAGGTGGCTTGGCCTTACTCTGAGAAAACAAGCTACCATCAAGTGACATCAAATGCCAAACAATCACTCGAGTGGAACCCGAAAGGGAAGCGGCGAGTTAGTTAGCCGTCAGTGCGAGGGTGACATAAAGTAGGAGGTCATGTGAAGAGGAGATGGAAGCATGTGGGCAGACGCGGAGTAAGGTGATGAAAGCGTTGGCGGAGAAACGAACGTGATGAAGACATGTGGCTGAAGCCCTTTTTTCCTCTAGGAAATAAAGGAAACAATAATAATAATGTAAGCAGAACACCGTTTGTATTCAGTGGGGTTTTAAATAGATATTTGGTTGTTTTTCTTGGTGAAAAGGAAACCTCATGAATTCCGCTATCTTTTATTCTGATAAACCTTTCATTATATATAAATATTCACTCTTCATTATTATTATTATTTCATTTTAGGTTTCAATTGCTGCTTATTTTACATGCTTCTAAAAACTTAAAACAAAATACAAACAACATGGGAAATATTTTGGGATCTAGAAAAAAGTTACCAAAAGAAGATTTAGAATTCCTAAGGACGAATACAAATTTCACAAAGAAACAAATTAAACAATGGTATCGAGGATTTATTGTAAGTGGTATCTTCTTTTTCTCCTTTTTTCTTTCATCTCTTTGCATTTAGAGGCTTCAAGCGTATGCCTTTTATATTTTGGTAGCTGTGGTGTCTTTTGTTTTTCTACACGCTGAAGTTACTAGCCTAATTAGCATAACCCTGCCTCTTTCCTCAAGTTTACTGCCAGTTGAGTGAGGCTTAAGAATCTGTGGGTGGGATAGTGGAATCGGACGCGAAGCACGAGTATTCAGTCACTTAAAACATCCTCAGCCTGTTAGTTCTACATAATCTACCATTATTAGTGAATTTTGGCTATCATTTGCAGTACATTTTAAATTGAATAGACCTATTGCTTCCTAAAATTAATTTTTTATGTTTATGGTACATCTAGTCCCATTGGTCAGCTTCATTTTGATAAACGAGTTACTTGAACACAGGCCAGAACATTATTACATTTAAGAAATGAGACTTATTTGTACAGTGTTTGAGTCTTAGTTCGAGTACTATCAGTCACTTGGCGAGGGGGGGTGGGGAAGAATAATAAGGTAACAAATCCTAAATATGGAAAAGCATACACTTTCGGTTCAGTTATTATTATTATTCCCTTGGGTTCTGGGTGCAACATTGGCCTTCAACAACACATCTCCTCTGTCTTCTCTTATCTGCTGTTCTCTTCATCTGGGTCCACGACTCACCATAGTTTCTTATCTCCTCCTCCAACTCATACGATATCCTGCATGTCACACACACATCAACGACCCACTGGAGTGGTGACATGCACTGGAGTCTCCTTAGCGTATGCCCAATCCATCCATCTTCAATTTTGTTCTATATATTTGTTAGGCAAAAGGTTATTGGTTGGTTGGTTTCCATGGTTTCTTGCTGCTAATTCTTTCTGGCCATCTGGCTGGCCATTTGATCTCTGGTATGAAGGCAGCAAAGCGGCCAGCTGATGATAAATTTCTACAGTCTGTTGGAAGTCCTTTAGAAGACACTCCAAGTTTATGACCTGTAGCCATCACCAAACAAGTAAATGTTTCCTTTTATTTCCAGTTTTCTTGCATATCAACGTGAATAGCTGACAACTGTTATGATTGTTATGATGCCCTTAGGTTTCCAGGGGATTATATGGCTTCATTCTATTTCCCACAGTCATCTTTAGTTAGCTCCATGACTACCCGTAAACAATTATTTCCTCCAAGTCACTCTGGAACGCCCGAATAACCGTTTCACATTGGGATTTCATTCAAGTCTGTGCCTGACGCGCTGTGCCACTCAGTGGTCTTCTCGGATGACAAGTAGTCACAACCTTGTTATTATCACCAGTAAATTGAAATTAATTTATTAAATGGGTTTCAAGGCAAAAATAAACTTGTATTTCTATACGATTACCAATTAGTCACACATATTGCGGGCCGACTATCGACACTCTCCAGTTGACTAAGTCTTCATTGCTAGAGCGGAGTTCTAACTGTTAGCTACTGAAAATAAACCAATGTAAAGAATACTGCTTTAATCTCTAGTTTTGCATTTATTATCCGTAGGTATAAATTTTCACATTGAGGGGAAGAAAATAAACTCCATCCATAACACAGTCATGATGACAGTTTCCTAAAATTATCTGAATAATAATTAAACAATTATCCATTATCTTCAAAATTTTCGTTTGTACTTTAGACGAAATGGATTCGTGATAAAGATTATATTCTAGATATGGTGGGGACAATTTGTAGTTCAAGTGGATGATTCTGATGTAGTTGTGCTCTCCGAGCTAGCTGGATGGTTTATTTGAGAAGCTTTCATTGCCCTACTAGGCAACATCTTCAGCGCATACTTCAATTTGTAGGAAGTGAGCTTTTAGATATCCCCACCAGTTTATTAGTCATCTCTCCTGGTGGGAGAACTTGAATGTGACTGGTTGTTTTTGTGTGTTTTCACACCCAAATTGTGTGTATGTATGTGTCCGTATTGGTACTGATTGTTTCCTTGACCTGAAGTTTGATCCCTTGTGTGTGAGAATTCCATCTTATCAATTGGTAAATTTAGTCTATTTCGATGTGTCTATTGATTGACGATTCACTGGAATACCAGACTTCTAAAAATTCTCTAGTATTCCCGGTGTGTTCTCTGTCTAACATTTGAAAGTTTTTCCAGTCAAAGTAATGTCTGTGGTTGTCTGTATACAGCAATATAAGCGAGGGAGTGGATGTCATGTCTTTTAACTGCTAGCTTATATTCATGGATACGAAGACGAAGGGGACGTCCACTTTGGCCAATGTAGTGTTTCCGAAGTCATTGCAACTTATTTTGTCGATGATGTTGGTTTTATCTTCTCTCGTGGTTCAGTCTTTTGGGTGACATAGAGTTGAGTGAAGTGATTTTGTTACTTTTTGTGCGACATCAATTCCTAAAGATTTGAAGAGTCTTGCAATGATTTCTTAGATGTCCTTTATATATGGTAAGGCGATTTTCTTTCTGCTTTCCTTGGGGACCTTTGATTTGATAGGTTGGCTTGGGGGTAGAGGTCTTTTGATGTTTCGATAATCTTATTACTCCTGATCTACTAGTTTGACCTATGTAGTTGACCTTACTCACAGTCATTGCAGGATATTTTGTAAATTATATGATTTTATTGAATCGGGTCCACCGGATTCTTTTAGCCTACAGAGCTTGTTTCTGAGTGAGTTTGTTGGTTTGAATGCCATCCTAATTTCTGCCTTATTAAGAATCCTACGTAGGGAATGCCTCAGATGTCCCCTCCTTATATGGTTAAACTGTTTACAGTGACTGTGAGTTAGGTGAGCTAAATAGGTCAAACTAGTAGATCAAGGTAGTGATATTGTCAGAATATATCACTTCAACTAAGGTAAGAATGGTTGGCCCTGCGAAGATAAGTAATTTGGAAAAGAACTCAGCAATCGCACTGCATGCATTAACATACAACCACAGAATAGTGTGGGATGGGGTTAAAATTCTAAAATGTAATATAGGTATATGGCGAGAGATTGATTACTGAATCCTGCCTGGTTCATCTAGTGTATATACCCAACACATGCAATAGAATTGGCTCAGTGCGAATACCAGAGGTGTATGGAAGGTATAATGACCACCAATCAAATTAGAGGAGGATAATTAATAATCTTAAAATTCTATTTCAATTTACATACATCTTAACATTATAACAAGTTACTTATTTTGACTTTGTATTTGGTGAATAACACTCATATTATTATTTCTGAATGTTCATTATCCTATCCTAAACTAACAGACTTGAGGATTCAGAGGTGAATTCCATCACAGTTACCAAATAGTCAGCCAGCTTGGCCCTGTAATCTAAAGTTTCAAGGTCCAATCTCTGGTCGGAGTATGGACGCGTACTTCTTAAGAGTCCCCGCCTATGGCTGAAACAGTTGTCTTGTACTGCCTAGTTGAAAACAAACACACATTAGACTGGATATACAACTGTTATATTTTCCTCTTAATGGAATCTTCGTTCATAATGAGAAAATATGAAATGACAACACAGTTTTTTTTATTGAAAAAATATTTAGTTTCACTGACACACAAATCGAATTCTTGTTTCAAACTGTGTTCTGTCAATACTAACACACCAATGCATCTGAGAGTTATAATAAGTGTTGAAAAATAAAGCTTTACCGTCTTTCCACATAAGTAAAAAAATAGAAACCTAGTCAATTTTTCTGCTTTTTGTTCTTTAACAGGTGCCAGTCAGTACATTAATTGTCCCTTTAATAATTGGATTAGAGTTTATGTGTGTTTGTTGCAGTTTTTTGTATTTAGATTTGTATAGTGTTCAACATTCATCAGTCAGATGATGAATGGGTTTTTTTCTCTCTATAAATATCGTTCTATTCACATCCTATCCCAGTAGAAATGTAATGTTGTATGTGATGAAAAAAATTTGCAACTTAATAGACTGTTTTAGGCTGACGCCATTATTGCGAAATGTTTGGAAGAAAGAATGGGCATCCACTAGTCGGATTATCGAAGAAGGATGAATTAAGACGACGTCTGGGCAAGAACTGGCACGGAATCATGCTCTTGTCCACGCCAAGTACAATACTAAATCGCATAAATGATACATTGGATGAAGAAGTCAACTCAGAACAAGCTGCGTTAAGGAGAAGCAACAACATCTCTACTAATCATAGTCAAACAGAGCACAAAAATGGAAGCTAAGTCTCTACCTGAATTCCATAAACTTTGAAAATGTCTTCGAAAAAAGTGGCTGTGAAGTAATTTGGAAACTATTTCAACACTACAAAGTGCTTCACATCCTGATAAACTTCATTTAGCCGCAATATAACAATGCCACATATCAAGAGGTCAAGAGGAATACTCAGAGAAGCATTTGAAATGAAGATAAGAGTAAGGCAAGACTGTCTACTATCACCGGTGATATTCCTAAGTGGAGTGGACTTGATTATGAGGTGGGCCGGTCTTGGGGAGCTACAAGATATGAATTTGTTTGGCTCAGGGATTGACTTGTTACTAAGGAATAATCTCGTTGACTTAGAATATGCAGATGATATAGTCCTTGTAGATGGCAAAATGCAGACTCTTCTGAACACCTTAGACTGCAATCTGCGAATGTTTGAAATGTGATTCGCTCCCGCAAAATGTAAGATGATGTTACGGGACTGAACTACACTGACCTCTAGCTTAGAAATAGGGAGTGAAGTGGTATAGCATGTTGACCACTTCATTTATTTGGAAAAACTGCATCAGCCAGTGCCAATGGGTTGATCGCTGACGAAATCTCAGAACGAATAGAGAAGTCTCGTTTCGCATATACCAGTTTTCGCCGTCTCTAGTGTAGACAAGATATCCGGCTATCGAACAAAGGGCGAGTGCACTGCTTAGCAGTCCACTCCGTCCTCGTTTATGGCTGGCTGTGAGACCTGGCCATTTAAAGTGGAAGATATGAAAAGGCTAGCTGTCTTTGAGCATAGGTGCTTGCATTCCATCTCCCATATGAAGTGATATAATAGGGTGAG